TCAAGTCCTGGCTTTGCCCCTAATTCCCTACTTGATACATTAAGTCATTTCTAATCTCTAAACCTGTGTTTTCTCAGGATTTACATAATGAGGTCAGACTGACCAGTGATCATAAGCTGGAACCTTGGGAGATAATTTGGCCTATAGATATGCTCTATTTGACCCTTACAATGTTTCTTTCAAAGTATTAATTAGGCCAGTTGGGGTGGCTCACACCTGTAATCCTAGCACTCTAGGAGGCCAAGGCAGGTGGATTGCCTCTAGAGCAACCTGAGCAAAGAGCAAGACATGTGTCTAAAAAAATAGCCAGGTGTTGTGGAAGGCATCTGTAGTCCCAGCTACTAAGGAGGCTGAGCTCAAGAATGTGAAGTTGCTGTGAGCTATGATGTCACAGCACTCTACTGAAGGCAACAAAGTGAGTAGACTATGTCTCAAAAAAAGGTGAATTAGTGGTCAACATTTTTTTAAAAATCGAGATTTTTACATAAAATTCCAAATTCTGGCTTTTCGTAAAATACTATAAGATCTAGCCCTACTGGGCTTCTATCATCACTGAGAAACCTAGATTGCCTCAGTTCTGTTCTACCCATGGGAACCAAAAAATCACTTTTGCTCCCTTTAGATGGGGCATGGATTTCCCATTTGGACACAGACTCCCACTTACTCCTGTCTAGACCTATCTCACCCACATAAAATAACTTGCTTAGCTCCTATAAGCATCTAAATTGGCCACTCCTGACCAAGATGAGTTTTTCCAGTTTTATATCTACAGTGCATCTAGGGTTCCATACAGGTGAAAAGATTTTACCAAGTGTCTCTTTCTTCAGCCACAAAGAGCACTCTATAAATAAATCTTGCCAGGCTTTCCTATGAAACCCCAACAGTAAAGGTTGGATTTCCATGACATCTGGTTTGTAAAAAGGCAAGGAGTGATAATAATCTCCCTCTTAGGAGATCCTTTCATCTCCATAATTCTAGACAGGCCAGAAACCAGAGAAACATAGAATTTGAAGAAAATGCAGAAATATATATGTAAATCCTGAGCAGGTTCTTCACTTTCTGACGGAATCCATGCCTTGTCTCACAGGCCTTACCTCTCATCATTAATAGGCTGTTGTGTGTCCTATATACAACCTTCCCTCAGGTAGGTGGAAAGCTCTTCCCAGGCCAAAGCCCAAAGTCAGAACAAAGTCTCCTTTTATGCATAATGATAAACAAAAAGAGCCTGAATGACTTGGAGTTAGGGCCCATCAGGCAAAATGAGGCTAATCACAGGGGTAAGACTTGAAATGTGAAGATACAATCATATCCTGGTAGTCTTCTTTCAACACCTAGAGGGGTAAACCAGCCCAGGAAAGCAGCTGAAGATGTCAACAGCTAGATATGAGGACTGATGTCCAGCAATCTCTAATTCCAATGTATATTAACTCTTGCATTGTTCTTGTGAATCTTTGTCCTCAGTACAGAAAAGAAAGGACCTAGGAAAACACATATACACACATATGTATATACGTATACAAGAATGAAATTCTAAACAGCAGGGGAGGTGGATTTGACTGGGTAGAAGGCACATATACCTGACAACTTCCCATGCAGCAGCCAAAATAAAATAACAATTCCTGTTGTCAGGTATCCAGCATATCACAGGTTACAAAGCATTTTCACAAAACCCAACTATCCCAATTTTATAAGGAAGAAAACTGAGCTTTGAAGATACACAAGAAGCTGCTCAGCTAAATATCTAATAACAGAACTGAGGCAATCTAGGTTTCTCAGACTCCAGATTGGGTTTTAATATGATCAACAACAGGTAGGGCAAGCTTGGACAGAACCACATAAGCATCCTTGATTATTCATCCTAGGCCTCAAATGTTCTCACAGCAATGAGATTTCCACACAGGAAATGGGTCTCTAATAACTGTATCAGTCATCAATTTGGTCCAATGATCTACAAATCTCTCCAGCTAGTATGGGGCTAAAAGGGAAGTCTTTTCTTTGTTAATATACTTTCCTGTTATATGCCAGATAACCTATGGATGATGTTGTAAAGGAGCTATTGAATCTCAGCTCAGCTATTATAAATTGAGATATGCTGTGAGTATAAAATATGTATCAAATTTCAAACATTTAGTAATATATAGGATTAATAATCTTACAGTAATAATGCATATTACAGAATATCTTAGATATAGTGTGTTAAATAAATGAAATTAATTCCACCTGTATCTTTTTTTTTTTTTACTTTTTTAGTGTGGCTACTAAAAACATTTAAATTACATTTGTGACCTTAATTATATATTTTATTGTGCAGTATAAATATAATGACCAATGGTTCTTAAGCCAGGCTACCCAGTAAAAGCTAGAGGTTTTCTAAAAATCCAATTCTTGGGCCTCATCTTCAAAGATTATTATTAAACTAGTTGGAAGCCTGGGTTTTATTTGTTTTCTGAATACTTCTTTTTTTTTTTTGCCACTTAAGCAATTCTCTTGTACAGCTAGTGTTGAGAACCACTGGGATAGACTCTGTACCAAATGGCTTTTAGGGCTATGCACCTAGAGGAACACTGGGCTCCAATTAGGAGTAACAATGTCTCCTCATCAATATTCTGAAATCTGGCTCTACCATTCACCTCTCTGAGCCATCCTGACTTGCTCAATCGTTTCCCCCATCCCTTGATTTACTGTTTATTATAAAAGGGGCATTTCTCCTGGAAATGAAATGCATTTGAATCTGGGTGATGTTACCACTGGGTGCAGTTTAATCTTTCTTTTAAAGAGAGTAGTCTGTCAACACAAGAGACAAAAGCTGTACATGTACAAGGCCTCATGTTGGTCCTGAAGGCCTGAGGTTACTGATGTGCTCTTTCTGACTACTCCTGGAACTGATTCATCAACCAGTAAACCTGAACTGGGACACAGAGAGTTTTAAGACTCTGATGAAAGATTCCACATAAGCAGTGAAGAAAGCATTATATATTTCATTAGAAGATTCTCCATATAGACAGAAGTGAGAGGTCATTTTGTCCATTCCCATAGATCTGGCCAGTGCCCTCACTTAAACTGTCCCAACTAGATAGTAATATTTTCCAGGTTTGTAGCCCTCTGAGGAAGGAAACTTCTTTCAACCTCTAGGGCCAGCCTTGACACAGGGACCTTCTTGTAACTAATAAGGTGGTGGTGGTAATAATAATGATGATGATAATGATAAAACAAGTTACCATGTGCCAAGTACCTAATATCTTGGATATATATCTATATATTATAACTGTTAAACACTGTGCTAGATATTTTACCTTATATGAGTTCATCGAATCCTTGGGAAAAGTCTGTTAACCATACTTTTCATATGAGGAAATCAAAACTTAGAAAAGTTAAATCTTCCCCAAAGTTACAAAGCTAGGAGGTAGTAAACCCATATCTCAAGTTATCTGACTCCAAATGCCTTGTTTCTTCCTTCATATCACACTGCCATCATTCCAATCTTGAAGCTCTTCAATCTTCAAGATCTCAAGTCTCTTTGCCTTTTTTTTAGAGGTCCAGAAGATTTCAGCCTCGCCTCATGGGAGAAACTAACAAAAGACTGTGATAAGGATAGTTATAACACACTTTCATATGGCCTTGGTGCTTCTCTTACCACAAAACAGTTTTCACATTTTATTTCATTTCCTATGACATCCCCTGGGATTAAAGAACTGCTAAGACTACTTAGCAGATGGATATAGTCAAAGAATTGATTCTAGTTCACAATCCTAAGGAAGGACAAGAACTGGAATACCTAGTCAATACTCTTTCTCCATTGCAACTTGAGGTAATTAAGCATCCTGGAGTCACTTCCACCACAGTGACTGTGAAGAAGCACAAACCTACTGTGAGCTCCCGCCCAAGCTCAAGTGGGAGGGAGCCAAGCTAAGTGCCAAGTTATTCATGGTACAATGTCAATGAGGCAGAAGCCTTGCAAGATCTTGCAGGCTGCCTACTTGACTCTTGAAAAAAGTAAGATCAGCTACAGTGATAGTGACGTGATCCCATACTGCCTCAGCACTAACGAAGGAATCTCCAGTGATCAGCTTAGGAGACAAAATAAGAATGTGTTCAGTCCACACAGCTCTCTCTCCTAGGGGTAACAGACCATACTCTTACATTAACATCTAAAGATAGTCCTGTGGGGTGGTGCCTGTGGCTCAGTGGGTAGGGTGCTGGCCCCATGTACCAAGTGTGGCGGGTTCAAACCCGGCCTTGGCCAAACTGCAACGAAAAAATAGCCAGGCATTGTGGTGGGTGCCTGCAGTCTCAAATACTCGAGAGGCTGAGGCAAGAGAATAGCCTAAGCCCAGGATTTGGAGGTTGCTGTGAGCTGTGTGACACCATGGCACTCTACCTAGGGCGACAGAGTGAGACTCTGTGTTTACAAAAAAAAAAAAAAAAAAAAAAAAAGACAGTTCCGTGACAATACTTTACTTTCCTAAATGAGAGAAAGGAGATAAAGAAGCAGAGAGAAAGGAGAAAGAGAGAGTAAAGGAGGACGGAGCAGAGGAGAGATGACAGTAAGAAAAAGAGGAGAAGAGAGGCGCTGGCAAGGATCTTTAAGAAGAAAGGATAAACAAGAAGGTATAAAGGAAAGAAAGAAAGCAGAAAAGAAGATATAAGAAAAGCAGAAGTTCACAGCAATATAGAGTTAAGTCTTCAAAAACCACCAAAGGCCCAAACCCCAAAGAGGAAACTAAGGCCAGACAAAGGAATTGATATACACAAAGATAGAAGGATGGGGAGGGGTTAAAATAAATAAGAGGCAAAGAAAAACTTTAAAATTTTAAAGGGCAAAGCATAAAGGAAGCCCAGGTCCTTGATAGGAGACAATTAAAAAAAAAAAAAAAAAAGAAAAAACTTGAGAAAAGATACCAGGAGAAGAATAAACAGAAGAACAGAGGATGACAAAGGGGAAGCCAGGGTCAGGCAGGTAGCTAAGGAAAGAGGAGTAGAGAGTGAAGGCTGACACTCACCCTCACAAAGCTGGCAGGAAACCATCCCTCCTCATCGTCGATCTGGCCCCACCACCAATCCTTGTTTGAAGCATCCAAGACTTTGATGACGTCGCCAGCCTTAAATGCCAACTCCCGGTTGGCCATGGTGACGTGATCCCATACTGCCTCAGCACTAACGATGGAATCTCCAGGGATCAGCTTAGGAGACAAAATGAGAATGTGTTCAGTCCACATAGCTAGCTACTTTGTTTGCCCTTTCCCCACCCACAGAGCCCTACCACTTATACTAAAACTCACAGACTCTAATGGTTAGGGGTCAGGGGGATGACACTGGAGCACAAGCTAAACTAGACCACAAGACAAACAATAGTATCAACTATTATTAGCCAGTGTATGGAATGACCCAGGGTATCAATACAGACTACATAAGCTTCATGCTTTTATCCCTACTCATGAACTTCCCTGAGAACAAAGAAAGCACCAGTCCATCTCTCCTTGGTGCTTCAAGGCAGCCCTGGGTCTGGAATTGGTAGAGAGACTGTACTCAGTGACTAAAATGAGATTCACATTTGTTGGCTTTCAATTCTCTGTGCTCCTCCCTCTTGGAGATGACCAACTGAGAATTAGTGGTACATTATTTAACTATTATGCCCCTCCCTCTAGGGTAATAGACCATGACATTCCTCACACACAATGAACTCTAGTCCTGTAGCCCCCTGTTCTCACCCACACATGATACCATCCAGAGAGGTCATGGGTATGAAAGAACATGAATTTCTTCAACTTTGGCACAGATTTGCTTAGTGATATTTGTATGATCACCCTTTGAGATACAGGGGGTCTGGACTAAGTTCTGAATTTTATAGCATGGCAAAACTAAGCAACAAGGAAGTTAAGGGATGAGTTTGAAACCCAGCAAGTCAGGGGCTATTTATGGACCCTAAACCTGTTCATTAAACTTCATGGGCAGGAGTACTGGGCTCCACACAACAGTGTTCTATACCATTGTCACATGAACAAACACATTCATGACACTCATCTAAACGCAGTGATAAAGATGGAGGAGAGGGGTAGTCTTCCTCTCTCTAGCTACCATCCTGATTACCGTGTTATTTGGTCTCTCTTTCCCCCTAGTTGTTCTGGCTTATATGGACCTTTCAGTCTTCCTGGAATCTGGGAAAACAGATTACATAATAGAGAACATATGGCCTATCAGGCAAAGAGATTCAAGAACTCTCTTCCAAGCACTGAATTGCTGATTATGTCCTCTATAGAAGTCAGCTTTTTCATCAACCTGCTTTGAGGAAGAACTGACTCAGGAAAGTAGTAATAGCTCCATAAAGCCAAAGAAAAAATAGTTCAAAGACAATAAAGGCAGTCTATTGCCCTCTCCCGCAAGTCTGCTCTCCAACATACTAGCCATAAATAACCTTATGGTCACAAAAATAATGCATATTCCTTGCACAGATATAAACACAGTCATAGACACGCTCCCTGATTATTGACTTAATTGAGGGGTTCTGTTCCTCAGGCTCTGCCTGATTGATCTGTCATTGTTCAGGATTCTAGTCTTTGTGCATTCCACAAAAGGTAAGGCCTAGAGGCAGTTTTTCAGCATGGACACAAACAGATTTCCACCAGGACCTTTTACAATACCACTTTTTCAAATAGCTCATGCCTTACTGTTTGCAAAGTATTTTCACATCTACTGTATCACTTGATCCTTACTGAATGAGGTGGGCTTCACTATTGCCTATATTATAAAGATGAGGAAACTGGGGCTCAGAAAAGCAACATGGTCCTTCAACCAATAACACAAGTAATAAATTATGGAGATAGGTCTCTTCACCTCATGTTCTCTTATATACATCAATCCGTACTAGCAAGGTCTACTCATTAGGTTTACTGAACTTACAGAACTCCATCCATGATATTATAAACCTGATGGTTCCTATTCTTAAAGAATCCTAAAGAAGGAGATTTAGATAACCACCTGAAGTTCCTAGTTTCTCTGCTTATGCGGAGGTTCGTTTTTATGTTGAACTTTCTTTTTTCCAATCATGCCCAAAGTCAATTTCTCCTTGTTCTGGCCTCAGTGAAGAAGGATAATTTCTGGTCACTGGCCTAAATAAAATAAATCTTTATAGATAAGTCTCCTCTTTCCTAGCAAAGATGATTCCCAACTGGTGTTGTCAGATCTCTATTATCACATAGAGTTCTAACCCAGAGCATCATAAAGGTCTTATAGTTTAAAGCTATATCCATGGCTTTTTATCAAGGGTCAAAAGAATATCTAAGCATCAATTACCAACCCTCTGCTCAGGACACTATCTATGATACTGTTTTCACTCCCTAGGCCCAGGTCTAGCTGATTCCACTACCTGAATTCTTTTTATTTCATAGTCTTCCTTTTAAGAACTTCATGCTTAGCTTCTCCCAGCAGCAGATAGCTCACTCTTAATCCCTATTTAGTCCAGCTGATCAGGTCATAGGCCCTGGACAAGGCCAATCCAGAACCTAGTGGTCACAAGCAACTAACCAACTGGAAAGCTGTTGTCAGGGCCTACTTAGAACCACTGACTATCAGAATTGCAGAGCACTATAAATATTATCACACTTAAACCCTCATTTGATAGATCAGATATAACAAAAGTAATTTGCCTACAGTCACCAGATGACCAGTCTCCTGGACCAATGTTGTTTTTTTTTTTCCCCCAACCATACGGAGGGAAGATAAAGAAAGTGTGGATTTAAAGTTACAATGATAATTCCATGTACCTTATAATAGCTTATAAGAGAACTTACTATGTGTCAGGTACTATTTTAAACATTTTCTACATATTAATTCTTTAAGCTTCACAATAGCCCTTTAAGAATATACTATTATTATCCCCATCTCACAAATGAGCAAACAGAAACACATAGAAGTTAAATACTTTGTCCAAGTTCACACTTCCAGTAACTACCGAAGTTCAAATACAGGCACAGTCTGGTTCTAGAAACTCTTCTCTTAACTTAAAATCTATGCTCCCTGGGTCTGTTTCTTTACCTGTAAAATGGAGATTACTCTCTCACCTGCATCATGAACTATAAGATACTAAATCAAGAGCTGACAGGTATGTGCACAGAGGAGACAGGAAGGCTAATCTAGAAGGGGCTGGCAGCTGTATGGGGCTCCTGTGTGTTTCCATCACAAACACAAGCAGGAGCAAAGGAACCCCTATCCTCTGAGTTTTTTTTAAAAAGTGAACTAAGTATGTGGTAGAAATTGGTTCCAAATATTCCCCTTGTGTACAGAATTTATTTTTAACTAATTATAATTTTTTCATATGTCACCACTTTTTTTCTGCTCATCCATTTTTCTTCCAACATTCATTCAATGAGCTCCTACTATGTTCAGGGATCTGTTCAGTGTGATTCAGCTGCAGTCCTTGTCTGAAGAACAAAGGGTCTCCGGGCACCAGCAATGCATAGCTTTCAAACAGTATGAAAGGTGGCTAAGGGCAGGCAAACCAACCTTACTGGCTCAGCACCCATTGCTCAGTGGTAGGGTGCCAGCCACATACATTGGGGCTGGTGGGTTCAAACCCAGCCTACAACAAAAAAATAGCTGGGCATTTTGGCAGGCACCTGTAGTCCCAGCTACTTGGGAGGCTGAGGCAAGAGAATCGCTTAAGTTCAGGAATCTTCTATATGTGCATAACTAGTTCTATTAGCATTATTTGTTAAATAAGGATTTTTTTTTTTTTTTAGAATGTCTCACTATTTGCCCTAGGTAGAGTGCCATGGCATCACAGCTCAAAGCAATCTCAAACTCTTAATTAATGATCCTTAAAATTTTTTCAAGGGCCACTTAAGATCCTTTCATTGCACACTAGTAGAAAATCACTGAGCTAGAGAAACAAACCTCAAAGGATCTGTCAGCACACCATTAGGATACCAAGGAGTGCAATATCACAAAAGCTAAGGATAAGAGTTTCAAGCAACAGGGACTAATCAACATTATCAAGTGGTACAGAGTTATTAATAGAAAGCCAAGACAAGGCTATTTAAGAGTGACTATAGTGAGGGTTAAATTCTCTATTACCAAACTGCTTTATACCCCTCTTCCCACCAAAAGCTCTAATTCCCAACTGTCCCTACCCTTCATCCTGCAAGCCTAACATAAAGCCAGGAGATGGTGCTGTATTATTCTAACAAGGTACTCAAATAGTTCTAGGCCATGGGACAACACTACTGTGAGTTCTAACGAAATAATTCCCAATCCCCTAGGGCATTCCAGAAGTAGCACCAAATATAGGCTGGCTCTTGCTCAGACTTACCAGTAAGTGGGGCACATAATGTTTCCCACTTCCACTCCAAAGACACTTTTGGACATAAATAAGAGGATGCTGAGGGTTAAAGAGTCATAAGATGGAATGAGATCCTATTCTTTTTCATCCAGATTTCCCAAGACAATCTTAATTTCAAATATTCTATCCCTTACATCCCCAAAATAGGTACATATGTTATAAGACCCATGTGCCCTGATTTTTAACCTGGAAATATGATCACTATCCTCTGGAGACATTATGAGTTTGAAATTAAAGGCTAGTCTCTGATCAACAAGACCTGTGGCTAATTTGGAGTAACCAGTGAGCCCTTTGAGGGAGAACAAAAGAAGGAAGGGAAGAAGAAAGCACTAACAAAAGAAGAAAAAAGACAAGGAAGATCAAGAGTAATTTATATTTGTCAAAAATACATGCCAGGCATTGAGTAATAGGCTTTCTTTTGTGATCTCAGTCTCTACAGTTCTTCAAGGTAAACATTAACATATCCATTTTTACTAAACGTAATCTGTGAGGTTAAACAAGTAGCCCATGATCACCCAGTTCATATATGGCAGAATGAATTTCAGTCTCCACTTGACCTTACTCTACAGATTTGCTTTTGCCAAGCCCCTCCAACCCCAGTGCCTATCAAAAAAGCAGAGAAAGTCTAGTCTACCCTGTGAATGATACAGAGCAGTAGTTCTCAATCTCCAGGCTGCTGAAGTGGGGCTGGAGAACTTGCAGCTCAAACAGGACCCAGGTGATGCCAATACTTCTGGTGGGGAACAGGAGACCTTCTTAGTTCTACTCTTGCCTCTCCTGAGGCCACATTTTCTCCCAATTTTCCCATTTTAGGGGCAGGGAACTATCCTAAGTGTGGTTATTAAA